AATCATACAAATAAAACATCTTACGATGTTCAATAAATACTTCCACTGAGACATTGAATATTCAAGTTTTGCGAAGAAATGTTTCGTCTCAATTAGTTCTTCATCAAGACTCTACACTAATATGTAGGTTTGACGAATGAGTAGAAAACCGATATCAATTAGATGATTTCGAGTCAATTTAACAATGTAACAGTCAGTTAGTAACCATACAATGTGTTCATATTCACGCAAATATCTAATTTATGAAACGTGGAAAATATTCAGCATTAACAGCGAACCTCACTAGAAATCACTCTGAGACCATAATTCATGGACGAACTTTGAGCGACGCTAACAGGACCTTGAGAATGTCCACTTACATACTAAGGCAATATGAGGGTTGTAAGCCAGTGTGAGGAATTAGGATTAATATTTACAGTTGATAGAACCAAACCTTATCGACCTCATATCTGATGTCGCTGATCCTCACCATCTAGTCAGCTCTAGTGGACTCTCTACTCAATGCGGGAAATATGCTTTAAATAGAGTCAAACTAACTGTAACTTGGGAATATGAGGACCCAACGTTATTTCGTGGGGGAGGATGAAGTCATAAAATTTGAAGCTGGATCTCAACATAGAGTCTTTAAAAAAAAAATGAAGGGGAGGTGATATGATGGAAAGAAAAGTCAATTTTCGATTGATTTACTCATTATGAGTTTTAATCAATAATACTTCCATTCTGATTCAATGTGATGATTACCCGGTCTAGTATTTGTTTTGTTTCTCTCGTATGATATTTTATTCTATATAATATACGATATTCTTGTATTCCATTGACATGAACTATGCTCTATATGTGATTTGTTATAACTGATGTGATTACATTCTAATTATAAATCAAAATGGGTGTACAATCAATATACAAAATGAGTGTATTTTCTATCAGGGTCATCGTCGTGTTTTGGTGTTAATAAATCATCACTTATACTAGTCTTGTGTTCTTACTTTCGTGTCGTGGGAGTTGCAGAGGTGCCTCGTTTCGAGTATAAGTGATAAGCGTTTCCGACATAACAATCAGCGACGATCAGATACAAAAAGTAGCATTGAAAGAGCCTAGACAATAAGCATTCAAACGACTAATTATAACAATCAGCTGAACAGACATCTGAGGAAACCGTTAATTGTATGGTTTTGTCGGCAACAATTCAGTGGTGATTATACGTGAAGGTATGACAAATAGCGGCATCGTAGATTTACAAAAGTAGACGATTAATGTGTATTACATTTGTCTAAACAACATATTTTGTTTGGGTAAGGTTACTGCTTAACAGATCATGGAGTAATGATTATCTGTGATGTGTAGTAGTCGAATGGGATTCGTGTACGTAAATTTGTAGTGGATTGGTCTACCAATCCGTTCAATAAGTGTGTAGTATCAGGTGTTTTTGGGAAATTTTCCGAGTGAGTACTGCTTGTGAGAGTATAATTTTTGCTATGAATTTCATTTCATGCTCTGATTTTCACTTCACCAAATATCTTAATTCGGAAATCTGAGACAAGCAACAGTGACGTATTTATAGAAGACATAGATAGCTTCAGATTATTGACACACAATTGCCAGTGAAATTCTTGTTCTTATATATTTGAAAATTACTCAATAAATGAACAAGAAGTGCTCGAAAATACTTGATTCTTTAATTTTATTGAGCGCTACAAGAGTATGGTTACGCTGACAAGTTGGAATTCACTAAAATCTTGAACAGTAGTAAAGATGTTGCAAGTAATAAGGTTCTGAAAACGTTGTTTTTTGCAACACTTTTATAATCGAGCATCATAAAGCCAGTCTAACCAGAATTCAGGGATGGAGGAGTTCAAATATATATTTACAAAAAAGTCGAATTGTCGAGAAACATATGATCAAAGCTGACTAGTTATTGATAGGGATGCATGGCCCGGAATACGTAATAGTGATCTGGTGCGGAAGAGTGATCGAGTGCCGTTTGTCAGGGTGTGTCCAAGAAAACTAATGAGGTCAGTATTATTTACCACTACATTATTCATATTATGTACACCGAAATAAATTGATTAAATTACATTAACTGCAAAAACCATTAACTGAAACAAAGTGGATATGTACAATACTAACACATCTTATACAGGGAATGATGTAAGAAAAAATAACAGGATCGTAAGTGTTCATATCACGAAACAGCTCAATATGTTCCTAGTTCTATATTACTTTACACTTCACTTCATTTCAATTCAGATCATAATAATACAATAAAATTCAGTATTACTATCTCGAATATTACTATTTTTATTCTTCTGATTTCCCAAAAATACCTGATACTACACACTTATTGAACGGACTCTATGTTGAGATCCAGCTTCAAATTTTATGACTTCATCCTCCCCCACGAAATAACGTTGGGTCCTCATATTCCCAAGTTACAGTTAGTTTGACTCTATTTAAAGCATATTTCCCGCATTGAGTAGAGAGTCCACTAGAGCTGACCAGATGGTGAGGATCAGCGACATCAGATATGAGGTCGATAAGGTTTGGTTCTATCAACTGTAAATATTAATCCTAATTCCTCACACTGGCTTACAACCCTCATATTGCCTTAGTATGTAAGTGGACATTCTCAAGGTCCTGTTAGCGTCGCTCAAAGTTCGTCCATGAATTATGGTCTCAGAGTGATTTCTAGTGAGGTTCGCTGTTAATGCTGAATATTTTCCACGTTTCATAAATTAGATATTTGCGTGAATATGAACACATTGTATGGTTACTAACTGACTGTTACATTGTTAAATTGACTCGAAATCATCTAATTGATATCGGTTTTCTACTCATTCGTCAAACCTACATATTAGTGTAGAGTCTTGATGAAGAACTAATTGAGACGAAACATTTCTTCGCAAAACTTGAATATTCAATGTCTCAGTGGAAGTATTTATTGAACATCGTAAGATGTTTTATTTGTATGATTAAGCGCAGCATGAACTGTTTTGCAAATATTTAGCTAAATGGGCAGTTGAAAGCAAAATGGGAACTAGTAGGCTTCTCAATCATAATAGTCTTTGTGTAAATTAGACATACTGAACTAATTAGGAAATAAATTCAAAAGACCAAAGTGTATCTGTCAAAAAACAAATATTTTTGCAAAAATAGTACAAAATAAATTCTCTTCTGTATAAAATATACATTTTCTTTAATGTATACGTGGTGACATTGAAAGATGGAACGTTCGACACAAATCTGATTATTTTCTCGGTTAATACACGGTTAAACGAAGCTCGAGAGAGATGTTAACCTTTGCCAAGGAATTCACGTTTACCTTCATCATTCACTGCACAGACATGCTTGAGACGAGAGGAAATAATCAAAGGAGAAAAAATGAACAATATTAATATCTTCTCTGAACAATGTGAAAGCAAATTTGACTCATCTCATCTCATGTCATCTCATTCATTCATTCATTCGTTCAAGTGATACATTGTCCGTTTTTTTGTTGGCCAACGTAATAACTAGCTCACATTCATACCTACTCATCAATCTCCAACACATGTTATTCCACACAACCAACTGGATCATTCCACATATAATAACAAACACAAATGGGAAAACAACAAATTATCCATTCGTCCAATTCACTTACTGGCAATTCACGGAAGCGATCGTTGTAGTCGATACCATAACCAACTATGAATACATTCGGTACTTCGAAGCCAACATCTACAAAATGCCATTTGATACGAATCAGTTTGATGGAATACGTTAAAATGACGAGTAATGATGCGTGTCTGATCAAAAGTAGACTACACTCGTGTTACACAGTTTTACTTTGCACGTTGTGACAATCGATCTCTGAATGAACCACTTAATGTGGTTTTGAGTGACTCAAATATACACTTGGTTTAATTTTAACAGAGATCAAAATAACTTGTGAGGAAAGAATTGACTGTTGAATTCTCTTACACGGTTGCTATATTCCTGGTTGGATGTGTTATCAGTGGTCAGGAACACTGGGAATAAATTTTCTTTAGAAATGGAACTGGAACACGGTCAATAGGTATTATTACACAACCGGCCAAAAACACAGTAGTTCTTTGTTGTTCAGTGATGATCGGGTTCCATCTAACAATAAACCAGTGGATGATGTCCCACTCTGACTCTATGAATACTTGTTCAATGAATTAGCTCACAACGTCTATCTCCAACAGATTCTATTGTACTATTGAAATGATTCTGACAAGATCAGATCTTCATTCGATGACTCACATCTTCGAACCTAGAACGATTCAATTTACATACACTTGAACACTAATCTAGTCAGCCATAATACGCATAAGTAGAGATACAAACAAATTAACATTTGCACAAATACAATGATAGTTCTGTTACGAACAATTTCAGTATTGAAGACTTACAGGTTGGTTTATACCCAGGAACCTCGGCTATCCTTTTGACCAGTAAACTGTGATTCAATTGAAAAATGACATCAACACATGTTACTACACAACTATTAAAATCAAAGTAATTGGTTTAGTGATTGTCAATGTGAAAATGCATACAAATTAGGTCAAGCTGTTGAGTATCAGCAGTCGATCGATCCAGTACTTAAAGCATCCTACTGACTGTTTACGTGATTCGGTGTTCAATCATAACACGTTGGAATCAATGTGAAATACGACGACATTTATCTCTCTTTACACTGTGTCTCAAAGATACCGTGCATTTCAACGATTCTAGTGTACGTGACAACCATTATCGATTATTTACTAAATGCACACAAATAAACTCACAAATCTGTCACACCACATCAGTAGTACTTACTATCAAGATAAACAATTGATTTCTACACATTCAGTGTCTTTTGAATTAAATGTATAAAAGATCTACTAGACAATGAATCCACTTGTTCAACCTGTTAACATCCAACTCAACATACACATAACACTCACTTCGAATGCATTCGGTGATAATACAAATAAGAGAACAACATCAACACAACATACCATGCTGAACGAACAGATTTCGGTTCGTATTTCTTCACAAATCTCTCCAGTTCGTTTAAACTTGTGCCCGTGTCAACCATATCTTCCACAATGAGTACGTCCTATACAGAACAACCAAATGATCATGATAAATTTTCTCCATTTCCGCTCAACCTACCTTATCTCTGAACTTCTCCATATTTGTACACGGAGTGATTTTGGTATCATGACCTACTGAATCATCCTGAATAAATTGATAGACATTAATTCACAAAATGTCATTACTACTTACAACGTATGTACTTGCAGCGACGAAGTCGATACTAACTTTTATGTAATTTCGACGTGTAAATGAATACTCTTGTAATGCTTTGAATAAGTCGGAAGCAAATTTGAAACCTCCTTTCAATATACAAATCACGTAGACAGATTGTACACCAGATTTCTCATAATCACTCAGTATATCAATAGACATTCTTTCCAAACGATTCTCAATCATTCCACTTGGAACCAAAATTGTTGAAATATGTTTTTCATAGATTTCTGGTAAAGTGAAATTCTTCGCTGAATATCCTTCATAACTATCATCAAACTAATTGAAAACACAGGTAAACAGATAGTGAAGACAATTTGAAAACTTACAATTATGCAGTCACTTTTGTAATCACGTGTAGTCATTTCAACGTTGTCAAATAATTTATTCACAATGAAGAAGAAATTACTGAGATTATATAGAGTGAAGCATACAGTTGATCATCCAACCAGATGTCTCGTTGCGTTAACCAATCAACTATCGACTTGATAGAAAGTCGAATTATGACAAAAATTCTATAGGAGGAAATCGAGAATGAGATTGCTTGAAGAATATGTTGAATGCATTGTATTTCATTGTCACGTAGAAGTCACTTCGTTTAATCAGTTCGAAATAATAAGTACATTGTCAATGAGCATGATGAGATGGATATTTGATCACAGAGTAGTGAATTGCGCGAAAGGCTTCATCGTAATTCACATTTTAACACGTAGATATTAATACAAAGAGTCACCAAATACATATGCACCACACAAATCTCTTTTGATATGTGTGAGGGCTGTGATGGTGCCCGGGTGCCCAGTTTATTGTAATGCAGTTGAATTGAGGACACTGAAGGAATATTTGTGAGTAAAGAGGATGATGACTCTGGAATATTGTATTGGAGATGACTCGATTGTGTGATCTGACAAAGATTTACTCATCATTGATGGAGATTGTGGAGACAAAATCGTGACGAGATTCAACTCACTCAATTGTAATTATGAATAGATGAAGAATGAGAAACAACTGAACCTATTCGGAGTTCATCAACACTCAGATGTCTCGTCATCTATCGACCTGATAGAAAGTCGAATTATGAGTCGAATTATCAAGAAACATTGTTCCACTGATTGTATTACAGGAATAACGGTATTCTAGTGTTATTTACTCAACTTATTCACTCGATTACGTTGCTTGATAATTCACAAGGATTTATTGTATGAAATGAAATACAGATGATTGTTGTCATCAGGGAAACATGCAACTACTTGTTGCATTGTGTTAGGTATTAATTATTATAATCGGACAGATTGTGTGCATTCATAGTTGACTAAATTGAGATTATTCACCTTGTGCTAAGTCGTGCTGCAGATAGTTACTGGTGAAAATAATTATGGTACATTGGAATTATTAAATGGTGATTAGTGCATAAACATGATCTGATCATATTCACAACTATAAACTGATTGACATTCGTTAGCAGTGCCATGAGTGTTAGATGTGTGAGTTGTTGGTTAAAAGGAACTCTATTTCACTGTTTGTGTAACTACTCATTTCACACTAAACTAATTCAGTCTTGTTCCATTGAAAGAATACGCTTTTGTTAAAAGTGAGAATTTTCACATCATGTGAGTAGTCATTCTGATGATGAATGAACCATTCGTTTCATCATTAGGAATGGTGATGGCACCATCAATCCATCCATGATGGACAGTATTGTTGAAACGATACATTTATATAATTCAGTCAGATGTGCTTCTCTACATCAAATCTTGAATTTCAATTTCTTCAATTCTAAATCTTACCAGAAATCTTCAACTACATTTCAGACTGATTATTACTCTTGAATATTCAATAGTAGTGTATGACCATAGAGTAATTACACTGAGACATTCCAACATACACAAGGAATGTAAATGAAGCCAGAGTAAGTTGACCTGGAGTAGACTTTTAGATTTCCAAGACTAATTATTGAATGAATAAATGAATGAATGCAAATTGCTTTGATGAAATTTGTTTATTTGAGTTTATTAACTAAACAAATACCATAATTTAGTTTAAAATTGACATAATCAAATCACAAATTAGTGTGGAATGTTAATGATAGCGTAAGTGAATTGACCGTGTTTATCTTGTTCATTGCCAAATCATATGCCTTCATAAGCGTTGTAATTCAATTCACACATAAGGTAATAATTACAAATTACAATTTAATGGTGTCGATGATATTGATGATGAGGACGCATGGTATTTTTCATTATCTATGCTGACTGGTTGGATGTCATCGGTAAGACATTGTGAATGTTTCACTTTATATTACATGATCAATACAGTGCTCTATCAAAAATGGTAGTTTGCAGAACAAGTCAATATCAGTAAGTTAAAATTTGACGTCTACACCACTCTCCAACATTCAGATATAAGCACAGTGAAATTGCATTACAACTTCCATGTTGTGGAACGATCGGTCTGGAGTTGTTCATTACTGTTCAGACTTTTGTCAGGTGACAGTTTATTTCATTGAAATCTATCACGTGATTTTTTCATTGTTCGCATGTACAAACGAATAGTGAATAAATTTGACACGTGTAAGAATTTGGATGCTCCAAACGAGCCGTTTCTTATTGACAGCTGAGTAGTGAACGAATCATTTAACCATAACATCTGAAAGACGTTTGTGCTTTCAGTTTTCTGTTCCGCTAACAAAGTCTGAAAACACTGTGCGAAGTGGTCGGTGAGAGTCGAAATATGATGATCATCATCATCACTATCATCATACTGACGTCTGTCTGTAACTTATTCTTTCCTGAATATAAATACAGAATCACGTGCCTGAGAAGATAGTCAACATCATACGGAATTCTTACGATGAATTAAACTGCTAAATCGTACATTGAGGACAGCTTACAAACTCATTTGAAGTAATTGCCAGCGTTACACAAGGTTGCTTACTGTCACCCTCTCTCTTTTTCTTATTGAGCGACTGGATTATGAAGATGTTAACATCTGGGGTGAAGCACTGTATACAGTGTACATCTAGGATGCAGCTGGACGATCTAGAATTCACAGGTGATCTGGCTCTTCTATCGCAGCTGCAGCTTTAGCAGCAGTAGGTCTCAACATACACAAATGGATACAACAGGACATACACCAATCAAATCATACTTGACGGAGAAGCTTTGGAGGATGTAAAAACCTTTACATAGCTGGGCAGCATCATTGATGAGCACGGTGGATCTGATACAGATGTGAAGGCGCGAGTCGGCGAAACAAAAGCAGCACATCTACAAGTGAAGAATATCTGGAACTCAAAACAACTGTCTATCAACCAACACCAAAATCAGAATTTTCAATACAAATGTCAAGACAATCTGTAGTATAAGGTGGAAACTTGGAGAACTACGAAACCCATCATCCAGAAGATACAAGTGTTTATTAACAGTTGTCTACGCAAAATACTTCGAATCCGTTGGTCAGACATTATCAGCAACAACCTACCGTGAGAGAGATCAAACCAGATTCCAGAGGAGGAAGAAACTAGAAAGAAGAGCTGGAAGTCAATAGGATAGACATTGAGGAAAGCACACGACTGCGTCATAAGCGTTCACTTAGAATCCTCAAGGCAAAATGAGAAGAGAAAGACTAAAGAACAGATAACGCCAAGAAATGAAGGCATACATGAGAAGAATGAACAAGAATTGGATAGAACTAGAAAAGAAGGATCAGGATAGAGTGAGTTGGAGAATGTTGGTCGGCAGCCTATGCACCAATGAGAGTAACAAGCATTAGGAAGTAATTTCTGACAGTCCTTATATGATCGTATATGTGCTCATTGCTTACCCTATTCATCACGTGTCAGTCTGATATGCATTATTCTTGTCTGAATATAAATATTGAGTCACGCCTAATCGAAACGAGTTCGCTCACTCACCTTCTTCTCTACGCCTCACTTCGTTTCGCTTCATTTCGTTCCGTTTCGTCTCTTCTCGTCATATCACAATACCACTAAACACTTCCCTATTCACCACTTGTATTCTCACTCAAGTAGCAAGTTTGTCTGGCAAATAGAAAGTATGTCTCAGCATCGATTGACCACTCAGCATCACACTTACCAAGAATCAATCACTAAACAATCTGACAATTGCTTTCATGAAATTACTAAGTTAACTGAGAAGAAACCAATTTAAAGGAAGTGACGATTGCATGTATGAAATCAACACTGATCAACGTTAGAAAGTCATATAAAGAGAATTAAGATGAATATTTCTGTAGAAATTTATCTTGAAAATAATAATAATAATAATAATAATAATAATAATAATAAACCACCAAATATGATTACGTTACGTGGGTGAATGAACAATAGATTGACCTTCGGAACCTGATGTATGAGAATACTGTCTCATTATGGCAAAACAAACAAACAAACAACAACAACAACAAACAAAAATGAAACTATCTATTGTTTCTCATAGACTACCTTCCTTATGATAGTGGCACGTCCTTAAAGTAAATTTGTTTTGTTCCATTTTCTTTTCATATTTCTATTAGGTTAAGAAGTTAGGAACTCCAGTAATTCAATAAGTAAATTAGAGTGTAGATATTTAATGAAGAAAAACAGATTGGCATAGATTAGAATAAAATAGAATGGACTAATGATAATGAATTTTATTGTAAACTATCATTTTATATCGGTTTGTATATGATTATGATTTATTTTGTATTTTAGGTGATTTCTTCCATTCTGTAAAGTAGTTGATGGGATTTTGTGGTTAACATTATTGTGATTGGTAATTCTGTCAATTGACAATTGAATTGACGAGTCAATCAAAGCTGGAATACGACTGAAAACGTGGAAATATTTGACGGTCTATTCCTTACTAATATGGGATTCCTCAGAAGTGCGCATCGACGATTCCACTGATGTGACTTGAACCCAGGATGTTCTGTCTTGCTTGCGAGTACTTAAGCTCCATACCACTAATTTGCCCGACATTCAACGGTATGAATGTCTACCTTCAAACAATCACTTGGATTCTTATTATTTTGATTCTATCTTTCAACTAGGCTCTCTGCTCTCCCTTGTTCTCCGTCTTCTGGTGATGCACGGGATTACGAAGGCCTCGACATCTGTGGGAAAAATGGAATAAAATGTACCGCTCAGAACAAATTAAATGATTTGGACTTCGCAGATGACCTAACCCACCTATCCCATAAACGCGAACAAATGCAGATTTTGACAACTAGTGCAGCAGCAGTCTCTGCATCAGTGGGCCTCAATACACACAAAAGAAAAACCAGGACAGGGTTAGATGGAGAATGCTGGTGAGCGGCTTATGCTCATTCACGAGAAGTAACAGGCGTAAGTAAGTTTAGACCAGGGTTAAATGATTAGC